GAACAGAAAAAGCGAATGAAGGAAACTAAGTGAGACAGTGAAGTGTGTTGGTAACGGCTATTAGGGTCAAAAATGACACCTAGCGCACGCCAATCGATAAAGGACGCTAAGGGCCTGAGAACCCCGCAAGACGGTGTAAATGGTGAGAAAGACCGGCTCCAGGAAAATGATTACAGCATGTGTAGCTTGATGGCGACTCTGGGCACTGCATTACAGTTCGTCCGTCGTGACTAATTTGAAGTGAGCCCACACCTACGCGTGCCACCATGCCCCCCCCCCAATGCTTGGAAACCCGAATAACGTTTGCTATGCCCTGATCTGGCCTCCGTGTCGGGCCAGCACATTTACCAAGCGGCTCGTTCAGGGGGCACCGATGCTAAATAGCGACCGCTTGAAAAGCGGAAATTATGGCTTTTTCCCAATCGATTTTTCCACACGACAGACTAACAAACAGTCTCTTCTTCGACCTCTACCACGCAACTAGACTAAATGTTCATCAAGGCATAAACTCGTGCATAGGTGAGGGACAAGTGGATACCAGCTTTCCTACACCGAATAGCTAGGCTGGAGGAGGCACATTAGCCCCGGAATGGGCTAAGTCTGCTGCAAACTGTCAAAACCAGACCTACCCCAGAGGTGCTGATTGCCGAGGCTCCAACCCGTTACCTGTTGATAAGAAATCCAAAGCCCTAAACACTGGGCCAGGGGTTCGTTTTCTTTTGATCGGGATCATAGCTCACCGATCGGTTGCGGCACTCACTCATCCCGTTTTGCCTTTGGGCTCACTCTTGAGCCTGCCAGCAGCCACACGGTGGCTAGTAGTATCGACAAAAAACAGTAACGACAATGACAGGGGAGACTGGAAATGCCCTTTCTGACTTACTAGCCGTCATCAGCTAGTCATATTCCACCCTGCGATTAGAATTCGCGATCTTTTGGCCATGGAGTGTAACATTTTACCGTTGAACCATGGGCCCGTTGTTTTATCCGTTGCGATCGGGAATATGATAATAGTACGGAGCTCACCGATCTGGTTACGAAAAATGTACAGTAGCCGCCGAAGACCATGCAACGCTAATTATGAAATTTGG